AGTTATCGCTAGTCCGACAAAAAGTATGTAACCGACATAACCGTTGAAAAACTTATTCGATGAGAAGTTATATTAAAATGAAGTATATGCTTTATAATCATATGTAATGTTGACTACATTAGTGTGTTCTTTGTCCCTGTTTGTTGCGATTTTCGCATTAAAAATGGTTATTCATGATTGAATATGTATACTTGAAATTTTATAAAGCTAACTTGAATCGAATATTGTATATTAATCCAATGTGTCCAAGATAAGGAAGGCCAGTATGGGGATCTGGGAAACGGTAAGAGATACGACGTTGCTTAAATTAGAAGAAAGTTGCGTAATTTTGTGCTCATTAAAATGGCGCTTTGATGTTCTAAAAATTCCGAGTACTACCGGAGATATCCGGCATAAACCGAAATTCGCCCAAAATGATTTCGTTTTTTCCTGACCTTATTTGAAGAGTTATTTCAAAATAAATGGCACTTTATTGTTGCCACTTTTCCTCCTCTACAAGATGCCGCCATCAAATTTAAAATCTGACGTTTCGTCTTTGGGCCACAATCATCGACTTTATTTTTTTAAATACGACCCTGGATTTTTTATTACAGATTTTGAGAGCTTCTGATGTCCAAAAACCTATGACGTATCGCATTTATTCGAAAAATAGTTATTTATTATACAAGGGAAAAAAGTACTAGATTTTAGCGTGAGGTCTCCCGACGCGAAGCGGAGGGAGACAACACAGCAAGCGCTAAAATCTTACTTTTTTCCCATGTGTAATACACTATTTTTTTCTGTGATGGGAAAATCTGAACATTTTCCATCTATACTTTGAGAAAAAAATTTGACTGGCACCTGTTACTTTTTTCCCTCGGGAAAAAAATTGACTAGTACCTGTTACTTTTTTCCCGTGGGAAAAAACAATGGAGTTCCATCTATTTTGAAATATCTGTTCAAAGAGGGTGAGGAAAAAATGAAATCATTTTGGGCGAATTTCGGTTTTTTCCGGATATCTCAATGGTCTCAAAATTGCGCAATGTATAATGAACATAATATAGACAATTTCTTATTTTATTTTCTTTATTTGGAGCTTCGAACAAATATGGTTATTGAAAAATATTGTTTTTATTTTAAGGAACTAATTTTTTATGACTTTTTTTAAAATAAATATTTACTAAGCTACATTAAAAAAATCAACTGGTTATTAATCATTTTTTATGTAACGTATCTGCTACATGTTTGAGAAGGGGGACAGCCTAGATCAAACCATTTATTTTGTCGGACAAATGTTGTTTCATATTATTTATGTAGCTATCTCAGCATTTAGCTACAAAATTAACTGTTATTATTCACATTTGTATGATCACCAAATAGACATGTTTTTCACCTGCGCACCCTGTTAGCTACCTGTTTTTGGAATTTTCGCAAAAAAAAAATTGGGCGTCTTATCAAAATGAAGATGCTCACGAAGATTTAGCTGGTTATTAATGAAAAAAGTTAAATCGTGAAATCGACAACTTTTGAGTGTAGGACTGAAAATAGTTACCTGTTTATTTGTAGGACAGTGTGACCATTTAATTGTAATAATATTTACCAACCTTCATTGAAAAAATCAACTTGTTATTAATCATTTTTTATGCAACGTAATTGCTACATGTTTGAGGGGGGGGACATCGTAGACCATACCCTTTATTTTGTCGGACAAATGTTGTTTCAAATAATTCATAAAATTATCTCAACATTTAGCTAGAAAACTAACTGTTATTAATTAAATTTTCATAATCACCAAATCGACATGTTTTACACCTGCGCAGTATGTTAGCTACCTGTTTTCGCAATTTCCGTGAGAAAAAAGTTGGGCGTCTCGGTGAAATGAAGCTGCATTGAAGAAACTAGCTTGTTAATAATGATTTGGAAAAAAGGGCCTCGGCCCCCGGACTAAAAGGCTAGGCAATGATTTTCGGACCCACTTTACTGGGTCACCCTGTATAGTTAGAGATTTGGCGCAATAATGAAAAATACTTATTTTCACTAGTACTACAACATACCAAATTTTTAAAAAAATCGACCGGTCCCCGAAAACCCATAAGATTTGTGCGATGTCCTTTACTGGCGCGCCAGTTTTTATTGGCGCCACTAAATCCATGCATGTGTAAACGCACCTTAATGCCAACAACCAACAACATGATTTATTTGGCCTTTTGATTCTCATTATTTTCCTGGACGTCATTACCTTAATGGTTTCGAGAAGAAACACAACCGTATTTTTGAAAATTATTGACAACCCTAAAAACTTTTTACCGGTTCTGGTTGTCGAAGGTTAGCGCTAAATCGATTTGTCATTTTCTGACATGCGGACGCCTGCAAATTCGTCCTGCTGAGCCGCATTCCAGTATGGGAGTTTGACGCCCGGAGCTACTCGGGGCGTTGAGCCCCCGAGCTGTACGTACGCGTCAACCTGTCAGCTGTCACATCCGTGGGTGGCTATTTATTTATTTATTTCTTGTTATATCTCAAGATTTTGCCCAAATTTTGTTAAGAATTCAACCAAAACTCGACCAAAAAAAATTCTCCTTTATTAATTATTAGATAACAAAATAAACGCTTCACAAATCACGACAAAACAACAGTTAACATCATTATTTATACGCTATCCTTGCGTTCGTTATTTTGCTTAAAGAGCAGAGAACGCAGAGCCGAGCCGTAATCACGTGACCGGTGAGCGCACAGAACAGTTAAACGCTGTATCAGAGGTCTCGAAATTCTAATAAACGAACGTGAATGAGCCTGCACCGAGTACACTTTTTCAATAAACGAACGGTAAATTTATGCTCGGAGAACTCAGATCAAAATACCGAACCCACGGTATATAGAGTGGCAAAAAAGTAGCGCATAATAATACCTGTGTAACTTTTTGTATGAAAAAAGGTCCTAAAAAGCTAAGGGCGGGTATTATAAAACTGCTTTGACAGTTAACTTGAAGTTAACTTTTTGAATTACATGTAATTCCAGAAGTTAACTTCTGGTTAACTCTCAGAGTAGTTTTATAATACCCACCCTAAAGGTTGTATGCACTGCACTACTTTTTTGCCACTCTGGTCTCTGGTCTGTATGTTCTGCTTTTATTACATTATACAGGGTGTTCCGAAACTATTGTGCCAAAAATTAGGAGATGATAGATCGCGCCAAAATAAACGTTTTTTACTTATAAACACATAGGCGCATGCGCTTTGGTTATGTGATAATAGAACATTACAGGTCGCGCTGTGGTAGCCACCTTACACACGGAGAAACGTGTTTGAACCAGAAACTGTGTTATTAAATAATGCAAAACCCAAGGAATGCTTGCAGTATCTACTAAAAATAATGATTCACAGCAAAATATGCTGAAAGCTACGACCACCCACCTCCATACGTGCGTGACAACGCCGTAGAATAGTCTCCTGAACACGTTAAAAAATTCATGGTGTTTCAAGAATTTCAGCAGTTGCTGCAACAATCCTTCCTACTAACTTCTTCTAGCTGTTCCAACTGGAGTGTCGTAAACAAGAGCTTTCATATGACCCCATAAAAAAAGTCGCATTCCGTCAGGTCTGGTGAACGTGGAGTCCATGCCCCCTTAACAATCACTCTTTCCAGATGTTTTGTTGAGATGTTCCCTTAAGGCTAACAAGTAATGTGGTGGTGGTGGTCTGTCGTGTTGGTACCCTATGTTTTGTCTGGCATACAGGGAAACAGTTTCGGGAAGGGTTTCCTGCAGAAATCTACTCGATATTTCTGTTACAACGCTGTTACACATGCATTGAGGCGGGTGGTCGTAGTTTTGAGCATCTTTTGATGTGATTCATTATTTTAAATAAATACTGCAAGCATTCCTTGGGTTCTGTATTATGTAATAACACAGGTTCTGCTTATTCAAACACGTTTCTCCGTGTGCAAGCTGGCTACCACAGTGCGGACTATAATGTGCTATTATCACCTAACCAAAGCGCATGCGCCTATGGGTTTATAAGTAAAAAACGTTTATTTTGGCGAGATCTATCATTCCTCAATTTTTGGCACAATAGTTTCGGAACACCCGTATAGAGTAAAATTTAAATAATTTTGTGATAAACTATGTTCTTTCGTTGTGCTTCACAAAATTAAATTATAATTGGATTTGAAAGAATGTTTTTAACATGTAAAATCCTAATCATTCACTTTCGTCACTAAATATTTTATCACTAGTGACGAAAATAAAGTTTTCGGCTAAGGTGAAATATGACGAAGTTGTTTATTTTCTAACGGTCATAGAAAAAATGATTTTTGACGAAAGTTGTCTATTTTTCAGTGGCCAGAAAAAAAGTTTTTTGCAGATGCTAGTTTGTTTGTGCAATGAGATTTAGATTTTGTTGGAATTTTTGACATTTTTATACCTACACAACATACAACATTTATTATTAAAACCCAAGAATCGTGAACTAACAGAATTGCTCATCCTGAGAAGGCGTACGTTCGCCGGTTCTCGAGTCCACAAGGTCTGCGAGTGATGTCACCACGTCAGCTGCTAATATTGGTGACGTCATCCGCAGACCTCGATGAAATTTTTGCGATTCAGGCTCGTTGTTTGATTATTGCGTCGATTTTAAATGTAGAAATAGCTATTTATGTAACAAGTTGTAAATTGAGCGTGTTTTTTTGAACTAAATGTGAAGATTGGGTGGAAAAAGCGGGAAAACCGGGACAATTCACGTGAAAAGCGGGACCTGAAATTAATTAAAAAAAAAGGCGGGACCGATTAACAAAATGCGGGACTGTCCCTCCTAAAGCCTAGTACTCATACCTGCGGAATTCGCATTTTTTTGACATTGCTTCGACAATTTGACGTTTGATACACGCATTAAACGTCAAATTGTCAACGCAATGTCAAAAAAATGCGAATTTCGCAGTTATGAGTACTAGGCTTAAGGTGGGACGTCTGGCAACTGGTTTGGGTTGACGGTCGGCGGAGCGAGCAGAGCGATTACGGAGTAACGTGACGTCACAGGGAGTACACCGTGTCAAGCCAAATAAACTCGTGCAAAAGTGCTGGGTTGAGCGATCAGCTGATTATTGTTTATTTTTTTTTAGGATATATTTTTTGGAGTCTGAACCCGCATTCCGCATTTGCACCAGAGTTTTCTCGTTTGTTTTTTATTTTAGTCGATAACTTTCAAACAGCCTCATTTTCAGCCCCGGAGCTGTTCCGGAGCTTTTCCTAGGTGTGAAAGGAATACAACTGTATTCTTTTCACACCTAACAGGAGCTCCGGAACAGTTCCGGGGCTTCACGCGCTTATTCCTTTCGAAAAGTGTTTGTCGTACCACGCATCTGTTCCCGCAAATCGGGGGCTACTAAACACCGGAGCGAGTAGCTCGAGTGTTTCAAGCTCTTGAAAGGAATACAACTTATAATCCATCTATCAAAAAGGAAAATTCAATATGGCGTGGCGGTCAAGCAAGCTTGTTTTGAATATGTTTTTATGTGTATTTTAAATTATTTTGCTTAGAGTTTTGCTTGTAACTTTGATTTTGATTATTTAATACGATATTTGTTGACTAGGTACCTAAACTATTAAATTGGGAAGAAACTAGATATTTTTTTTGTGTTTTTTGGCCCATGTGTGGCCGCCACGCCATCTTGAGTGTCACGTGGTTTGAATTGCCTAATGGTAACAGTGGTTTGGTTGAACGTTGAACATTTGCGAAGTTGCGAATCGTTGACCTTCTTGCGGCTTGCCTTGCCTTGTCCTTGGCCTACATTATTTTCATTTCACCGCTTTGCTTTGCCTCGACGCGGCCTTGCTTTCCTTGCTGAGCGAATTGCCCGCCCCGGTTATTTTGTACATTTTGTAGTGTGTAGGTGATACTGCCAAAGCCAAGTAAGTAGATTGAATTCCCAGAAATTTCTTGACGTTTGTTATTTGTAATTATTATTGTAGTCGTGTCGTCACAAGTGTGACTCAAAATTCAAAATAATGGATGGAGAAAACACCATAATTAATCACCATCTAAAAATAAATTTATAGGTATAAGTAGAACTAAAGCCTGTGGTGGCAAGGCGCAAATTTGATATTATTTTATTGTAAACAATCGAGTATACCAGTAGCCAGTAATTAATTATTATTTGTTATCTTGTTGAACTTGAATTTAATATTTAATACATAAAACAAGACAGAAAAATAGATTAGTGAACCAGTCTAAAAACAAGAGGCGTCGCTTTCTTTTTTTGCTGTGTTTTTCCTAAAATTTACCACGTATGTACTTAAATGATTCACAAATTTTCCTGAGGCGTGGCTCTCAGCAATTTACCCCACAATTTACCTAAAATAGTGCTTTTATTTTCAGGTCTACACCCCAGGATCAATACCGAATTATCCCTACTGCGGAGCTTAATTTTCAAACTAATAACAATAACAATATGAGTTATCAGTCGGTAAGTTCCATTATTTTTATTTTTCAATCTTTTTAATTTTTTCATGAACCTGAGTGAACCGCTAATGCTTTAAATCAAATGATCTTCGATCTGATTCGGGTCCATCACACTATCCGGAAACACGAATTTGACATTTTTGAAGCTTTTACATTAAAATAGACAACTCAAATAATAGTTTTATGAAAAAAAAAATGCGGGTTTTTTCATTTTTCTGCAAGAAAATTCAGTTCAAACTGACGGAAATTGACCATTTCATAAATCGAATACGACATTAAACGAAATAAAAATGCAAGTTGCAATCAACGTTGCCACATTGTGTGATATCTCCTGAGCTTAAATAATAATAAACATAAAAAAAACCATAGTCATAGTTTCTTAGAGGTTTTATTTATATTTCTTACTAATAAGTTGCATTAACCATTTGTATCTATACATTATAATATAAAAAAGGAAAAGTTGAATTAAGAACCATTAAAACTAAACAAACTTAGGGAATAAAATATGTAATTAATCAACTTAATAATCCTATAAAAAACTATTTAATATTTTTGTCCAATTTGCAATGTTAAGTTATACATTTGTTGGATGGCATTTTTGCCATATATCTGCTTCCACATATCTATATTGGTCAATATATTGTGGCAAATATTTTGAATGCATAACACCCATAGCTCTGAGATATTTTTTCAAGCCAGACCAATACCCTTCCACCTGGTTGGTACAGACCTCTGTAATGGGATCTTTGAAATATTTGGTATGGTTTACTGTACGGTCTACTAATCCAGAATAAGCGCGTCAATTGCCTGTCCATATTTCACTATCGACCCTTGCATGTTTTGTTATAATCGGTAAAAGAATCGCAGCGGATCGATTTTTGACATATTGAATATATTCCGTTTTTTCAGTGTTATATTTTCTTTCAGAAATTACCTGTACCAAATGATTCTCTCCGCCTAAATAGAATAAAAATTATAACAGACGATCCTCTTCTCAACCTTTGACACAGATCAATGAATAATATCAATTCTTATCAGTTTAATATCACTATCGCTCTGTTTTTCGATAATGACATAAATAAAAAAAATGAATCAATAGTAAAGTAGGTAATTTTTTTCTGGGTCTCGTAAAGAAAAAGATGATCTGATTTTAGAAACTTTTTCAACTTAAAAAAAAAAAAACATAAAATCAATAATCTTAGTAAATTAAATGACAAATATTTTTCTGTATGAATTTCAGTAAATTTATTTATTCATAAGAATATTTAATGTTTTCCGCATTTAATTGAACATCTTAAAGAGGAACTAAACGGTTTTATGGAGAAGTATATCGAACTTGTAAGTTTTAGTGTTTCCGTATAGTATGATGGAACCCAAAGCTCAAATAGAGAAAATCACAGGTAAAATACAAAAATTCCACTAAGACACGAAAACCTTTTTTTTGGGAAGTAAGTACCCAAGTACTATGTAATATACATACACAACCATGAAGTGAAAATTGAACAAAGTGAAATTATCCCTAAAAGGAAGTCCTAAAGTATTTTCTACTTTACTTCGTCAGGTTATCTAAGGGTTATCATAAAAGAGTCAGCTTGAAATTGGTCGCGTTTTGTTGAAAACAGGTGAGAATCAGCTGTTTTTTTTTAAAGATAATTCCCCAAGTCAAAAATTTAGTAACTATGTTGGCAACACAAGCCTTTTCTACATAAAAAAATTGAAAGCATTGACAATTTTACATTGTATTGCCAACATAATGTCATTTTGACTTTTATCTTTAAAAAAAAAAACAGACTTTACTAATCACTCAACATGTTGAGTGCTGGTGAACTCGACCAATGTTAGCATTAGCATTAGCATTAGCATAGCATTTATTTGTTCCATAATTGTAAATATAAAGAAAATTATCACAAAAGCCCTTTCGGACATAGAACGTGTCAATTTAAAAAATACCCTAATCTAACATTACAAGCCAAATATAAATTGAATTGACTGTTTTGAGTTTAAAATCATAAATAAGTTAAGTCACGAGCACATTTAAAAAAAAAAAAAAACAACATTTATACAATACTACACATTAAAATATAAAATATAAGAATATAAAAATACAATATAAAATAAAATACAACATGAAAATACACTATAAAATACAATACTGAGCATCAGAATACATATATTGGTTTGAACCTCATTTCAATTTTCGTTGTTCAAATTGTCCTCATACAATTCCTCCACCAAGTAGTAAGCCCTCTGAAGTAAGTGGTTTTTCAACTTATGTTTAAGGTTATCGAATTGCAAGCTTTGCCAATTTGAAGGTAGCTTGTTGAAAATTTTTATAATTGAAAATTGAACGTTTTTTTGTATGTAAGTAAAATTGCTTCTCACATTGACAAGATCAGTCCTTCCCCTTGTATCATAGCAATGCCCCCTAATGTGCTCAAGAAAAAGGTCAGGATTTTGCTTAACAAACAATGCTGCTTCCAGGATATATTGACTTGGTAATGTTAATATGTTGTGAGCCCTAAATATGGGTTTACAGCTATCTGTCTGGTACATAGCAAATATTGCTCTTATACATCTTTTTTGTGCAATAAAAACTCGAGAGACTTCGGGACTATTACCCCAGAATACAACTCCATACCTCAATCTTGATTGAATGTAAGCATGGTAAGCAGTTAATGCAACCTCATAATTTACCTCACGTGCCAGCACCCTCAGGGCATAGCAGTGCCTTGATATTTGGCCAGCCAGGCAGTCAATATGGTCACTCCAGTCCAACCGTGAATCCACTTTGACCCCCAGGAAATTGGCCGATCTTGTAGTGTTCAAAGGTATACCATCACCGCAAACAAACTGAGTGGGAGACCAATCCCGTTGATATGAGAAACGTAGTAGCTGTGTCTTCTCGACATTCAAAACCAGGTTATTTGAGTCAAACCAACCCTGAAAGGAACTCAAAGTTGTGTGAATTTTGTTACTCAATTCCTCCATTCGTTCTGCCGAAAAGACTACTGAAGTGTCATCCGCAAACTGGACCGTAAACTGATCAGTTATATTTGCAAGCTCGTTAGTATAGATAATGTACAGCAGTGGTCCAAGGAGTGATCCCTGAGGTACACCTTTTTTGACCTGGCTAGAAATTGATGTTAATGTTTCCCCATTGTGTCTTTCAATAATCTGCTGCTTTCTATCAAATAGATAAGATGATATTAGTTGTAAAGGAACGCCCCTCAATCCATACCTTTCTAGTTTTGCTAGCAGCACATCATGATTAACACTGTCAAAAGCTTTAGACAAATCCAAATACATCGCCACTGTCTCGTTTCTCCCATTAAGGGACTCCAAGATTTTAGTTAGTGCCTGATAAATAGCTCTGGTGGTACTTTTTTTCCTCCTAAATCCATTCTGATATGTTGAGAGCAACTGCTCACTCTCAAAAAACGAAATAACGCGATCATATATTATCCTCTCAAATATCTTGCTAAAGTTATTCAAGAGTGCAATTGGTCGAAAATTTTTTATTTCCTGAGCGTCTCCTTTCTTATAAATTGGAATAATTTGGGCTATTTTCAGTTTATCTGGAAATACTCCTGTGACAAGCATTAAATTAATTAAACGTGTATTTTTTCCCAAGATGGATTTTGACGTTGAAAACTTTATTTATTTATTTATTTATTTATTTATTTAAAAACTTTGAAACATAAACAATACTGCTTGGCCCTGATTGGTCGCAAAGGTGTCCCTGCAGGTTGGCATCAGTTTTACAATAGTCTTTTTCACGTGGTCCGGTTTGAACTAACCGGGTTACAAAACGGTTAGTAGCGGTATGTCAAGTATGACATACCGTTTTTTAACTTACACTAGATGCACTGACATACTACAACCAGTAACTATCCCTCCTAGGATGGTTACATGTTTACAGCCGAGTTTTATGTTGTGTTTTATGTTGTGACGTCATAGTATGTTAGCCATGATCGCTAAAATGTAGTATCCCAAGTAAATACAACATACTACTGGGTTAAAACTCTCGCTAAAATAAGCCTAAAGTGAAGTGATCGATATTACTCGAATTTGAGCGGTATGTTGCGGTTTGTTAAACCGGAGCCACGTGAAAAGGGTTAATGCATGTTGCGCAAATGGCATCTTGCGACCAATAAGCGGCATTGTTTATGTTTCAAAGTTGACAATGTCAAAATCTGTCTTGGGTTGGGAAAAAATACAGTATAGTCCTCATTTTACAGAATTCACAAGCAAGTTTAAACAAATAGAAATGTACGAGGAAATGTATAAAGAAAAAATCAATATAGGTATACAATAACAAAAAATAATAAAAATATAGCAATAAAATTCAAAATCACTTTGAACATCATCAAAGCATAAAAGACCAAAGACTAGAAAATAAAAATCATTCTCATAAAACTTTTCTAAACTAGTAGGCTTTTAACTTCAAAAAAGACTTTACACATCTCACAAAACTTTTGAGCTTGCTCTTGAGATCATGAAGAGTCACTCATCGGCAAATCTTCAAACTTTCATACATTAAAGTTTTTGGCAACACTGCTCCTTGGTATAGTACCAAGATACTTAAAAATGAACCCCCCTCCTCACTGTGAGGCTCAATAAAGGATCCCGCAATATTTAAACGGAAATTGGTTACCCGTGATATTTGGATGAAATTTAAATATGTTATTGGTGATGGCGTAAGCAACATTTTTTACCATGGGCGCAAAATTGTATATATGACAGGTGAGGCGGTATCGGCTGTCAAATATTGGACTTTAATATTCAAAAGCAGGGTAATTATCGCAGATTTCGATGAAGCAAGTATCGATCCCTACTAAGTCGACCAAGGTAAATCGAAAAATGTCAACCATTTTGACATCTCTCAAAACCCTGCCAAACGGCAGCACTCATATTTTTCAGTTTTCAATATTTCATGACGTGTCATTTGACAGTTTTAGGTTATGTAAGTTCTGAGTTAAAAATTGAAAAAAAAATTACAAAACT